GCCTCCGACTTCGAAGCCACTGTCACAGACTGTCATACCGAATTAGCAAAACACCATTCCTTAGGGTTCCCATCATTTTTACAGTAACATAAACCCCGAACGCGTACTCGAATTTCTCATGCCCTCAAATTCTGACGCCCAAGCGTCTCCCTCAGCCTCCGTGACACACCGCAAACGTTGAAGCTTTTCACCTCAGGTGGAGGAACTCGGGGTTTTGAGGGAGGGGACGGTGGTGTTTCAGCTAGAAATATCGAGGGCAGTAATAATTAGAATAAGGCTTCGGGGTTTTTTACACCGCAAGTGTGACGGTGGCTACCAGGGGATCCATGCTTCGAACTTCCGCAGTGAAGGCTGTGACCCATAGGGCTTAGGGCTTAGGTTGCAGGGTGCCTGAATGAGTGTATTTTCTTCCTACTCCCCCGGATGGAGAAAGGGACAGTCGATGTCCATGCAAGGGTTGCGGTGAAGGCCCACCCTGCGACAAAACGCTGCCTAATTTAATCAGGGCTTAGATGCGTGACGGACCTACATGCAGGGGACCCCTGGATCGTTTCTGAAATCAGCGGCGGCACAGAGCGGAGCAAAGATGGCTTGGTTGAACCGGGCCTTCAAGGCTTCCCACTTCTCTGCGTCTTCCACTGTGCCTGACAGTGGCCCTTCCAGGCCAGATAAGACATGAACCCAGCCCTCGGCCGTAGCTCCGAAGTCATGTCCAAAGGAATCTCCAGGCTGGCGCAGCGCATGATCGGCGATCATCCTGGCAGTGCTTACATCCATCTGGTTCGACATGGCGAGTGCCCAGGCGACATTCCCGATGTCGAGCGGCTTTAGGGTGCCAAACTGCTCCCGGACAGCCTGGGCCAAAGCTTGGAACAGGGCTTCGTCCGGCCACTGGAGCATTGCAAAGGCCCAGAGGACACATCCCAAATCCTGCGCGCACATGCGCTTCAGCCGGTTCTTGGGCCCGAAGAGCATGTCTTGCGCAGCTTCCCCAAGAAGATTTGCGTCCCGCCACCACACCTCAGTCACTGAAGGTAGCAATTCGGAGACTTGACTTGACCGGTCTATACCCTCCAGTCTAGCTAGCAACGAAGCCGCTATTCAAGAAACACCACTTGCGTCAACAGTAGATGCAGTCGGCGAAACCTTGGCAAAGGACCACAGAAGCTGCGAGAGGTCGAAGTTGTCGAACTCTGCGATTCTGCCCTTTGCGTGCTCTGCAACAGCGGCGAACAAACCCTCGTGGTACCTTGCTTGCAGCCAAGGCCGTTTACTGTTGCAGTTTCTAGACCTTCAAGTCCGCGACACCCCGAACATCTAATCAATCCTCTGTTTGTTGGCGTGCATGTGCATGGATATGTTATACACGTAAGCGTGAGACTCAACCTATACAGAGAGCAGCAGCTTGAACATGTCAAGGGCAAGAAGCAAAACACTGCCCGGTGCCCTGCAAAGGTACATGGTCTGATTGGCGAAGGTCCACAACAAGTTGGCCAGCTCCTGCTGAGAACAGTACAGAAACTCCGAGCCCCTTACATACCTCTGCTGACCCTAGCATGGAGAAGTTCAAGTGGGGGGGGAGGGGCCCTTGTTATCTGAATCTACAAGACAGATCTCGGTAGAATCACTAAACCAGCTCACGGCCAGGTCGTCATGTGAAACGAAACTCCCGGCTCCTGCGTTTTAAACGTGCCCAGCTTGGGAATCGCTGCCTCTGCTCCCGCATCGAAGAAGCTCCGAAACATGCCGAGCTTGCCATGGATGCGAGAGAACGCCCAGAGTATGTTGGTGATGTGTTGCGACGATACCTGCATGGGAAGGGACACCCCGCCGCCAGTAACGAGAAACACTACGAAGCAATGCGGATCAACTAATCTCGTCGCACCTTATGCGCGTGGTCGTCAAAGACTCCAGGATGTCTCGCCACCTCTTGAAACAGCGCATGGTTCGGAAGCCGCACCTGTGAGAAAGACCACAGGATGTTGCTCAAGTTCTGCCCGCCCAAGTCCTGGGAAGCTAGAAGCTCCCTGGTCCTCCTGGAGGCCACGTAGAAAAGCCTCCGGTTCACTTGCCTCGTCACGGCACAGCCCCATAGCAGATTCCCCAAAGATTGGCCATCGAAGTCGGGGATCCTGGGAACGGCAGCCTCGGCCAAGGGCCTGAAAAGCGCCGTGAAGTGCTCACCCCGGAGCTTCAGCGCGGGGCAGCGCTGCAGGGTGGCGAAAGACCAGGCGGTGATGGCTATGTGGCGAGGCTGCAGCTCACCTGCAGGAGGAAAAAGCCCGTGAGATCTTGAAAGACTCATGTCTGCCGATGCTTTTTGCTACTACACCTTTGGTCCTTCAGACGCCGCCTAAACCCGGTAAGCTGCTCGGGCTGTTGGCATACCGAAAGATGTCCGCCAAACGATGGCTGAGCAGGACAAGGACGTCCACAGTAGCACTGGCCAGCTCTGCGCCGCCGCCGGCAGACCAGCCGCGGGCCAGCCGGTGTAATGCAGTCGTGGCACTGACGACGCCCATTTCAGGCTCCTCCTTCAGCGACTTCTGCACCATACGGATGAAGTCCACAAGATCTCCTGGGCTCGACTCTCGACTTCTCGCTGCCAAGATGCGCTTTTGAGGGCTACTCTCCGCTACGTTCAGGCGGGACACCCTGCTCATAGGCCTGGACGAAAGCCAAGTGAGGCGCCGGGCGCGACGGCAGGCGAACTGCTGGCTTGAAGTTGCCATACAAACTGCCATGGCCGTCCACCATCAATCCAATGCAGAGTTGTGTGTTGTGACCACCCCGGGTGTCAGAAGTCTACGGCACATGGCAGGCCCCGACATTTCTGCGCACGTCTTGCTTGTCTTCACCATGACATGGCTTTTGGAACCAGGCTATTGCACGCTGTGAGAACGTTTTGACAAGACTTCGAATCAGCGCAAATCATCTACACATGCGAGCCTGTTCCTGCAGACCGAGGCCTTTGTTTTGTACACACACATCTCAACTAGACATGACCCCAACCCCCGGCCTACGAGACTTCTGTCCTTCGGAAGGCGACCGAAAAAGAGGGTGGGATCCACCTCTGAACTGCGCAGCTTACGTAAAGACGATCGGATCACAACTCAGACAAGCCCGACATCAAAATGCTGGTCCATACCATCATCTGCAGGAAACCGTGGACACCGGCTGCCCGAAAAGGAAGTAGTTCCGCCTTGGGCCTGAGCAGGGCGGTGGGTGGGAGGGGAATCTGATCTCGTCTGTTTCGTGGGGCCCTCATATCATCGAATTCTGCCCGCCCTGAGCTTCGCTTGAGGCTTGGAGATGTTTTCAGACCATCCGGCGAGCCTTGCAATCGCGGTGCCGGGACTGGTGGCACGAACACATCGTCCTGCAACGATGGGGCAAGAAACAGCTGAATGAGTACTGGCACAGAATATGACAAGAGTCTAAGGGTACTACACGAACGAGTGCGCATGTGAGTACAGACGTCCGTCACCACGTGCATATTTCCGTGTGCGCACATATGCTTACGAACGTGTGTATGTTCGCATGGGGTTTCTGAAGGGTTGTTGAGGGACCACACAAATGCTGTATGTAGGGCTCAGCTAACAAGTAACATTGATGCATGTTCCAGTCGAGAGGGATGTCCGTTGGTTGGGTCAGTTTAGTTTCAAACTCCCATGTGTGATGTGGGCATGTATGCGTATATCTATTTACATATATATATATATATGTACATGTATATGTTTACACTATACTACGTTATGTTAAAATAGACTATAGCGCGGCATGGTGTAGAGGACATGCATACATGCAAGTGTGCATGCGTACATGCATGTATATTCAATCACCTGACTGCATGCATCCACACACATGCATGCATGCATGCATGCATGCATGCATGCATATGAACATAGATGCGTAAATATGTACGCATACATACATCCATACCCGCATGCCTACACACACACACACATGTAGGTGCATGTATCAGTGCGTGCAAAGAGTCGCAAACGGCCTCCACGAAGCTGGGGAGATCTTGGGTCCGATCCCGGAGCCAGTCACCTCACTGAAAACTTTCGGCAAGCCATATATATATATATATATATATATGTACATAGATCTTGTAATCAAACACATGTGTATGTATGAATATCTACACACATATGTGTATTCTACACAGATTTAGATATTTACACACACATACATATTCTACAATATACTGTACTATACGATAATGTACTATGATATAATATAGCAACATAATACAGTATACTATAATCTTATGTCATATTATACAATGCCATGGTGAAAATGTACTATAACAGAAACTTGTGGGATATTGGCATAGCATAACACAACATGGTATAATAATCTGCTATGTTATGTCATGCTAGATAATAGTAATAATCACTACATTAATGTTATCTCTCTCCCTCTCTGCATATGATATCTTCTGACATGATGTGTGTGTATATACATATATATATATATATATATATATATATTATATATATATAACATGTATCATATGGGGCTTGAAGGCTTAAGGGTTTATGTAGGGTGCTTCAGGTTGGGGTCTATGGGATTCATGGATTGAGGGGATGAGTTGCTGAGGGATTTCAGATTTTAGGTTTTTTTCCCCTCCTGATTCTAGGTTATAGGGCCAAGGGCTTTGCGGAATCTCCTGCACAAGTGTTGATGCAGTCTGCTAAAATGATGTTTTTCTTTACTGCTGCGTTCCAGCGGTCCATACGGATGTCAAACTAGTAAATGGGGCATCAGGGCAACGACAACCGGGTGTTGTTCTGAGCAGCTATGCACGCGAATGCCCTACGAAACCAATGAGAGGGCCCTTGGGGGATCAAGATTAAAATTAGGAGTCGCGATCGGCTGCGCGCCAATTCTTCAGCAGCACTCTGCTAATGCAATGACATCAGTCTCAAACCAATCGCTGACACGCCGTGGCTTAAGCTGGGGTCGAACCAGCCACAAGCACACTTGAAGACCTACGAATGATCGAAGCTCTGGCTGCCCGCCCGGTCACCGACTACAGGCATGTTCAACAGCTCGCTCGAGTCCAGCACCGTCCCGGCAAAGAACCTTCGGAGGCCAAGGAGTCGGACTTTCAACTACAGAACCTCCAAAAATTCGAAACTTCGGGATCTGGAATCCTTACAGCTGGGCCAGCATCATTGGAGTATCCTGCCCGGAGCAGAGGTCGGTTACAATCTCTCCAGGAGTGAGACATGCTCTCGGGGGGATGAGGGCAAATTTGACAGCAGGGCTGGTCCTGGAAAACAAGCCAGCGATCGCCATCTTGCATGTTACTGTCGAGCCAATTGCTCTTACGATTGCTTTAATAAGATGCCAAGAAGCTCATCACTGCCAATGCCGCTGAAGGGTATGATAGTAGCATTCCTCAGGCAGGGGTGTACAAGGCTATGGAAGCCAGAGCGATTGACACACAAGGACGGGACCTCAACCAAGCCTCCTTGAGACATAAGGTGAAAGCAAGCGTCGCTTTGGCGGCGATGCGGATGAACTGCGGCTGGGGAGGCCAGAAAAGCTGATACTCTTCTCCCTTTCCTTGCAACTGGTCGTGGCTGTACAGGTCTTGACATGCCCCGGAGCAGGGGCTTTCCAGGCACTGCGATCTTGCACTGCTGGTGTGAGAATCTACGAGAGGTCATGGCATCTACGGTAAGGGCGTGCAGCTACAGGCAGATTGATACGAGACAGAGAGAGAGAGAGAGAGTGGGACAGAAAGTTGGAAGGGCCGGTGAAATGCAGGCTTCGTAGAGCACGCTTTCTCCAATCCAAAGCAACAACCCAAACCTGACAGGAAAGAACCCTGTCACCCATCCCTCAAATCAACCGTGCATTCGGAATGTCGGGTCAAAGAAGTGAACCGAACGTATCGTTTTGTCTCAGTCGCGCCCAGTGCTAACCCGACGCTCTCCCAGCAAATGAACTCACCCCAGCCCAAACCCCCACCCCAAAAACCGTACCTCACGTGCCCAACCCAATCCATAAACCGTCGTCCCTGAACCCCAAACCCTATTCACTCACTCGTTTCCCCCTAGACTCTAAACCATAAAGCCTGAACTTAAGTTCTGAACCCTGAGCCCACAACTCTGACCCCAGACCCTAAACCAAACCCTCTCGTATCAGACTCAGGAACGCTTGAAGACCTCCCGCGCTCCCCCGGGGAACAGCAAGGCCGCACCGGCACCTGGTCTGTCGAGATTGCCCCTCTCCCATAATGATAGCAGCCATGGTCATACAACAACTGCGACTGGCAATGTTCATGGTAGTAGTAAGCATAATGATAACAGTAATCATCATATTATACTAGGTTTAACTATGTAGCCAATTTGTAATAGTAATAGCCACAATCACAATAAAAGTAATAGAAGCTGCAGAAAAACAAAAAACATGATAATTGCAATCAGAGGGGTATAAATACCTAGCGGGTAGTAGTAACAATAATCATACTGATACAAACCACGAGAATGACAATGGTTAGCATATGCAAGGGCCTATCTCTCGTTGCAGTCTTGGGTTTAAGCTTCGGGTTCGATGGTGCACACTCCTCTGATTCTTGCTCTTGCTGCTCTGCTGTTCGTACCTGGACATATGCCTGTGGCAAAGGGTTGCTACTGTTCCTAGTCCTTCTGTTGTTTGCTTTTGCTAGCGCTCTGGGTGGGCATTGCTGGTTTGCTGATGCAGCCACCTCCAGCTGTTAGTTGGTTTGATGAAACCCTGAAACGTAGTTTCTCTTGTTCGCCTTCTGGCTGATGCCCCGTGGGTTCAATCTTACATGGTGACGACCCACGGCTGCCGGGCAACAAGAAGCCGACAGAGAACGAAATGAGCATGGGATCTCGAACCTTCTGACCTAAGAACGGGGCGTGCTGGCCACCAAAAGCTCAGAAGCTGTGGTCTTTTGCTTGTGACTGCTTCTGCATTGCCAGGCCTGCGTATGTTCCCTCAGATCGAATCGGAAACAAACATGTATCAGATCAGGGAGGAAAGAAGGCCCATGTTGGTTTCTCTTCCTTTGGCTGCTCACCTTACTTCTGTCCGTGTGATAACAATTGGAACACATCAGCCCAAGAACGGAAGCGCAAGACAAGTAACTTGCATGATCTGAAGATGTACCACTGCCCGTCAGGCGTAGACAGAAGAGGCTCAATATTCTATGATGGCAAATGGCCTTGCGTCCGGCATCTGTCCTATTGCTGATACTGCTGTACCACACTTTCATGCTTCCCAGCCAGCCTGTTCGGTTGGGCCGCAGCGCACGAAGCAAGTTTCGGGCGCTCGTGGGCATTACCTCCCGGGCGGCTGCTCTGTTTCAATCTATGCCAGGTCTTTTGGCGCAAACAATGTCTGCGCGGACGGCGGGTTGAAAGAGTGGCTGACCCATACGTAGTGTCTCTGGGAGAGGTAATGCATGGCATTGGCATGAAGGTCGATTCGAGCCTTCACCCTGGCACGCTGCAAGAGGCACATGCTGCGCTTGCATGTGGCTAGGGTGCAGGCGAGGCTCAAGACTCTTTAACAGATCGTAGTGTCGCAGTGACTCTAGGGCTACCGATGTCAACCAAGGGCCCCGGCCTATCAGGCTCCACCTGATTGCTAGACCTAACGTTCTCATTTGAGCCACAGAAAAGCCGCTTGCTCCCAACCACCCTAAACCCTAAACCCTAAGTTCGGGCACCTTGAACTTCTCAAAGAGCTGCCGCGAGCCCGGGAACGGATAGGGGAGCGGAGCGAGTGGAGAAACTTCCTGATAGAGGGCATCTGCGGAAGTCTGCTTAGCATGTTCGGTTCTCCGCTGTGGGCCTTCAGTTAACGAAGGATTGGCGATTCAGAGTTGCGGATTTAGGTAGAGCCTGTAGCGCTTTGAATTTTAAGCTTGGGGTATGCAAGATTTTGTAGCATTCAAGGTCGAAGATGAGAGCCATTTTGGGCTCTTGAGGGCTGGGTCTCAAAAAGCAACGTGGGTCTGGTTGTATCGAGGCGCAGCAGTATGTTTCATTCGGGCCGGCAAAAACAAGTGGCACCCAGCTGTTCCAACAAACCTTTAAAACTAAAACTTGTTCCTCGGCATACATGCCGCACCCCAAGATGCAAGAAGCATGAACGCCCAGCCCAAACTGGCATGCGAGCTGCATTCAGCAAAGGCGGGTACACCATAGCAGTCACAAGCCTGCGGACAAAGGGCGGTTCATGGGAGAATTCTTGGACTCGCACCTTCTCCGAAGATTCGACGCTTGAGCTGCTACTAAGGCTTGGAGGTTTTGAAAGAAGCTTCCAGACAATGAGGGTTCGGGCGCCCTTCTGCTGTTCTTGGCTCCAGCTGGCCCTGACAGCTGTAGCCTACAGAAAGGCAGGCATCATGAACAATGCAACATGCCGACACCTCTCCCACTCAGCATCGGCAGCCGAGCAACCGTCGTTGCTCTCGCAGGAACTCGTCAACAAGGAAGATACCATCTAAACTGAACCTGGGCTGGTGTGCTTGCCTGGACTAGTCAACACCATCACGATACTCGGACATTAAGCAACTCATGAGTCCCCAAGAGAACCTATGCTTGCGTCTGTATCTCTTCGCCTGTTATGCTTTCTTTGATTGGCATACCCGCGAGGCATAACGCTTTCAGCAACGACGTGTGAATCAAACGATGTCTGTCTGACGACATGATTTTCTGGTGCTGCCAGCCTCTGCTCAGCACTTTCTGGTCGCAAAACTCACTAGTGATAAAAAGATGATATGTAATCAATTGCTCTTGGCCTTCAGACACGCTTTCCAAGCCAAGCTCGCAAACGCCAGCGTGGATCCTGCCTCCTTCAACGAAACACTGCACAGTCTTTGGGTACTGCATGGGTTGATTTAGCATCGACTTGGAACGAAGACCAAACAGATTGAGCCCGTGGCCCCGAAGCTTCAGTTTCCTGACCCCTCGAGCCGCGGTGCAGCTGGTGATTCCCGACGAACAGGATCGGGTTTTCTTGCAGGGCCGCTGGCGCCAGTTGCGGGAGCCCTGCGGGAGAGTGGGAAGCTGGGCCCATTTCCTGGAGATTGGTGCCGATGGTGAACCTCATGTTGGCGTTGGTTTTTGTTTCCCACGCCGCAACGAAGGCTAGGGTTCAGGGGTTGGAGTTGTTGTGTCTGAGTGTCTGGCTAAAATTCAAAGCTTTACTAAAAGCTCCATCACAGCTTGGCTTGCATCTGACGTCCCAAAGCCTTCGCCCTAAACTTAGGCCAGCTTGCTGCTAACCAGAAAGATGGAAAGAACCCTGCTAGATGTCAGACCCGCATGGAAGATGAAGACGGTCTTGACGGCTTGCAGCATCGCTCAACAAAGCAGAATACACACGCACAGGTGGGACTCTTCGGCAGATGCTCCCGCGAATGTGCCTCGAACAATCTGGCCTCCAGGGAGCACGGATAGGAACACCGGAGATACCCACGTCCTCGCCTGACACTTCATGTGGCCATTGGTATGGGGCATATCGCAGATTAAGCAGGTTCAAAACTCGGCATCCTTCACGCTCATTCAGACTCTCGAAACCCTCTTCCACCTCCAAGCAAAGCCTCAAGTCAATCCTTTTGCTGCAGGCTTGCTCGCAAGGACGCCTGGTAGTTTGCCTCGAGTCAATCCTTTTGCCACTGGACTGAAGTCTAGCCAGTTTAAGACCCCAATCATGTTGATCGAGGCCGACATGCAGCATCGATATCCCCAGCTTCCTAAACTTGAAACCTAAGGCCCTAAACCCCTCGACTGCCTGCATAAGCGAGGCATCCAACCAGCTTTCTGGCACGAGACTCATCTCCACAGGGGCAGCCTGCAAAGGTTCCCACAGGAGATCCATGGGAGCCAGTTTCAAGTTTAGAGATTCGGCGCTCTAACTCGGACTGTCCAGGCGAGGCATCAAGCTCCGATTTAGGGCTCAAGGTACCACAGCTCAGATGAACCAAAGCATATACTTAAGTTGACCTTGAGCTTGATTTTCGGGCACTTCAGATTCGAAGGCTTCGGACTTGGATTTGGGGTTCTGCAAGTTTGATGGGAGGCCAAAAGGGGGGTTTAAGATTCTTGGGGTAGGGATTCCTTGATATGAAACCTATTATGGGAACCCTAATCCCTCCTAAACCCCCATAGGCTAAAACCCCTGATGGCGTCCTATGAAAGTTGTGCCCAAAGTGCGGAAACATTGCCTGACATATCGCGATTCCTTGTTTTGTTGCAGTAGCTACCCAAAAGTCTCATCGAGTTCGCTTGAACCCTGTGAACGGCAGGCTTCTCTCGGTTTGTTCCCAGCTTTGGGTGTCTTCTTCTTGCCCCGTCTACTTGGCCCGGAATTGTCGACTACGGTTTGGGGAATGGCCGTATTGCGGCAGCCAGTTCAGCGAAGAGTACTACGTAGGTACTAGCTGAGACACGCCACGATGATGCCAAGTAGTTGCACATTTGTCGTCATGTGGCGGCTATGCGACACTTTATCTGTGGGCGGCAGGATGGGTTTGGGACATACAAGAGCGGGGTATCCACTGCAAGTCTTCAGCGAAAAGCGGCAAGGGGCCAATTTTCCCCCAAATGTATGCAACTATCCTGCCGGGTGCTCGCACGTCAATGGATCGGAAAACAGACGTCCTCCAGACCTCTCAATGCTGCCGCCGAGGGACACCCCCGACCCTTTCGCGCAGCCCAACAAATGAGATAGCTGGGTAGATCTGCCTCTGTCAGAGATTGGACGATGCCGGCATCTGTCAACAGCGAAAGCAGATTCACGTTGGTCACATCATCGAAGCATGCATGCGGCCCACCAGGGATGACCTTGCGCTGAGAACCTCGGCTCTTGCGCGGGATTTAAACTAAGATAGTGGTGCCATGTCCTACTTCTACTGTGCAGACACACTTTGGAATTGACGTAGCGCAGACTGGCTCGACGCAAAGATCAGTCTGGCTTGCAACAGGGAAAGAGGTCTGTCTGAAAGTCAGGTATCGTCGAGATCATATTGGAGGATGCAGCCACACAAACATGTTCACATGTCTTGCAGACACGTACTGATCATTGAAACCTGGCTGGCAACTCTGGTTTTTCCTTCCTACCTAGTTCGCCCGCATTGCAGGGCAACTCCGAAGTAACAGTTGACTACAGCTTCAGGTTTAAGGTTTGGGGTGAACCGTGGACTTTGACATGAAATCCTCAACTTCTGCGAGCTGAAGCGGTGCCTGGCATCAACTTGAGCAACCTCTCCGTCTCGGCCATGGATGGCAGCACAGCATCTGAATCACCAGCCTGGTCCAGGGACCCACAAGTGCTTCAACTTTCAGATATCCCCGCTCGACAGCAAGAGATAGACTCTTCGGGTCAAAGCCGCAGATAGCAGAAGATTCGCTCGGTGCCGAATCCTGCCCTGAGTAGCACCGGACGGTGACAGCCCCAAAACCACCCATTTGTGCCTACTCGTATGCAGTGGAAAGACTTGCTAGGGCTTTGGTTTTCCTTTGTCTGAGTCCCTTCAGATTCCGACTCGAGACCGAAAGGCGTGACATCAAAATGCACCAGTCACCAGAGACGGTCGGAAACATCAAAACTCCATGTGCTGGCAAAGGCTCCACCAACAGTGTCTGCTGGAGCCACGGAGGATCTTGCAGCCGGAGCTCCAAACTTAGCATTACATGTGGAAGTGCAAGCCCTCGCCTTTGGCCGGAAAGCATCCACCAAATCCATATGTACTCTCTATACTCAGAACGCACATAGACCCGAACCACATAGAGCTGAAACAAGACTAGAAGCGAACACGTTTGCTACTTTTTAAACCCCGACAAGTTGCAGCAGCGGCTCCAGTCTGCGGACTCCTTCTCCTTACATGGTGTCTTGATAAGAAGGCTGATGACTTGCAAGTCTTACCAGCCTGAGGCTTTGAAAGACTGCTGCCTCGACACTTTCAGAGCCGGTAGTTTAGCTGGATTGAGGATGTCTACAGGGCGGCATCGGGCAAAAAAGTCATCAAAAGCCACGTCGGTGGCAGCAAGAGAAAGCCTCGTCGGCGCAAGCTGAGACTACGCGGAGAGGAGTGCGAGACAGTCAGAAAAAGAGCCGCGGGCCGAGAGCCAAACAAAGTCACAGAGAGAAGAGAGTCAGAGAGAGAGAGAGAGAGAGAGAGAGAGAGAGAGAGAGAGAGAGAAAGAGAGAGAATCAGAGAGAGGGAGAGAGAGAAAGTTGCAAGAATGAACAGATTCAGATGGATGGATTGATGGGAGCATAGACATGTAGATTCTGGGTCCCGCACGGCATGGCTGAAGACTCAGTTGGCAAAGATGGGTTAATAGATTGTTGTTCGATACACTGACTGACATATATCACACAGATACATTCCGTTCGCACCGAGATGGTTTCGCGTTATAGGTGAGCTGGGGCTTGTGGCCTATGCAGGCAAAGCATCGAAGCTCAGACCTGAACTGATTTAGTTCGTGGCCTTCGAAGTATGCCAAGAACATGACATGTAAGGGTTTCGACTCCGGCGCACGCGCTCGACAGGCAAGGATGCACGACGACCTAGTCCCAGAGGAGACATGTAAGGGCTTAGGGTTTTGCCCTTCCCATTGCCACCGAGTATCGAAGGTAAGCCGACTCACGGAATTGGAGCGTTTCGGGCGGCAGGGCTCGGCTGAGACCGCCTGAGCAAAAGCCATAACATACTGTTAAAAAATAGATCTAACATAATTAACCCGTTCGTGTTTTTATGCGGACACACACAGACCCATACGTGGTCACTGCAATGACAACGGTGTGTTCCGCAGATCCACCACGTCTATTGTTGCTGTGAAGTTCTGATGTGCACAGGTTGCGCGCGACCCTCACCTCCACGCAGAAGTGGGCTACAAGTTCCGCGGTAATTAACTTCAAAACAGCATGACAACGCTGAGATCTGCTCTCTCTCCTGCGAAGAAGGCTATCGTTGAGCACAGCCATGCGCACCATTCACACTGCATCCTGAAGCTCACGCGCCCCAAAACTCTACACCCTCAACACAACCGCGCAATCCAGCCCGACACGCCCGTCCACCTAGGACCTAAGGCTGTATGCCATCGCAGCAAGCCTAGCAAGCCTTAGCATCCAGCGTGGGCGACTGTGCTCTACCAGCCCATGAACCAGACACTGACCCCGCCCTGGCCCCTGGGTCAGCTGAGTCGCGGCTTATCCGCATTAGCTCTGCCAACGGGCCATCTTCGTCCGGACTGGCCCTTGCAGCAAACACTCGCTTTTTCAGTTTCCCCTGTCGTCATGATCGGCCTTTCTTTCTCCCTAGAAGACTAAGATGTCTGTTTGTGGTTGAATCCAGCTCCTGGGACCTTCCTAACACTTGCAGAATACAAGCTACCGGGTACTGATCGAAAATCAACGGTAAGAGATTCGATCCGGTCATGTTCGGCCTACAGCTAAGCCCAATCACTGGCCAATGCGGGGAATTCCTTGCACTCTAAGAGGGGACCGAAACGTGGCTTTCAGTGAGGATTTGGCTGATGTGTTGAAATCTACCCGGATCTCGCCACTGTGCCCCCCGATTAAGGCAAATCTCCGCGGATCTTCTTGAACAACTTGGTCATACCAGCCCAGCTTGCCAAAGAGGGGCGTCACTACCTCAGCTTGACAGGGACACCGAGAACTACAGCAAATGAGTCAGGAGGACATGCTGCGAGCTGCTCCGGGCACAGCAGGGAAGAGCAAGCGCACAACAGAGAACGATGTGATAATGCTTTCATGTATGCATTGCCATCGCATGCGAGGAACCTGAGGCGTGACAATCGACAATTATCATCCTGCGAAGAGTAGCCTTCATGATCATCGAAAAGGCCGTCTTGAAGGATGTAGACATGTTAAAGCACAAACAGCGAAGATCAACTGATCAAGGTTAGTCATGGTCACTGGTCAGGACGATCATGCCGAAGCCGAGTGCGACAACCACGACCATCACACAAGCCGTGAGGCATATTCTTGGTACTACTATTACTGGTGCAACTATTCTTAATTGAACCTTGTTGTTGTACTTTGTCTTATTCTTGTTACGAACCCTGCTCTGAATGCTGCTACTACCAATATTCATATCATTCTTAGTCTTATTAACTATCGTTATTCTCCTTATTGTTATCACTCTCATTCTTCTTTTCATAATTATCATTTCTATCAGTACTACTGTTAATATTGTTATGACTACCAATCAACCCAGTACGCAACACCCGCAACTCTAAGCCGAGCAGCGCTAATGATCACGTTCCGGGTACGGAAAAGAGGCGAAAAGCCGATAGTAACAACATCTTTCGTGACGAAAAAACCTTGCAATGCCTCACAAAACTATGCCAAAGTTAAAGCAACGAGCCTCAACATCATACGGGTCGGAAGAACTGGTCATGAGAGCCCCTTGCAGCAGTCGCTACATGATAATGATGACAAGAATCGCAATACCAGTGACAACAACAAGAAGAACAGCAATAGCAATAACATCCAAAGTAATACTGTACTAATATGCGAGCCAAAACCGCGCCGAAACCGGGCCGAAACCCCCCAAACCGACGAGGGGCTGCCGGCAGCGAAGAGTATAACTGCTCTGGAAGGCGGGGTAGCACTGGAGCCACCAAGGACAAGGCACTTCCTCGAGCTTCAGCCAAGTATTCACATATTCACAAATGTATAATCTGTGTGGACAGATTTAGTAAGAACAGCATATGTACTGTCAGCCGCAGCCTCTTTTTCTCGCTTTTCAGGCGTGTGTGCGCAAGCCACGAAATCTTTAGTATCATTCTTACTTCCCAAACCCTTTACACCTGGACTATGCGCATGCCAGGAACCCAGGCGCCGACTGTGCCGTGGACTCGTGCCAAACCCAAAGCCCAAACCATGGACCACGAGCCCTAGACTCTGACTTGGAGCTGAAGATTCGAAATTAAAGATCTTGTGACTGGTCTACAAGCGCAAGCCAGCTTTTAATCACAGCTGGAACCAAATAAGTCGTGGGAGATGGCGTGCAGCCGCCTAGCCTGCAGCCTACACTCTGCTGCACGCCCTTCCTTTGCGAACAAAGCTGAGCATGAGGTGTCGACTGTAGGCATGGCAGTTGCTACACATCTGCTTCAGCTCCGGGCAAGGTCGGGGGCTGAGCAAACAGATCACCCCAGTATGACAATGTGCCGTACAAACTTTGAAGATCTGGCAGGAACGGGCTACGTTTAAGTCAAGGAGCTTCGGTAGCTCGTAGCTGGATTCAGCAGACACAAAGCCTGCATCTTGCAGGGATGGTCGTCAGCTCATTGTCGAAACAAACAGGACCGACAAGGGTGCAGAACCAGTTTCGTGTGCAAAGGAATTTACCTCCCTGTCTATCTATCTACGTGCTTGCCTATCATCATATCTCCCACCATTTGCCCCGTAACTTATCCATCCAACTACCTACTATCAGACACATGTATGTGTACCTACCTGGCTCAAACACCAGCACAGGGATTCCAAGTCCGAAAACCCGAGCGGAGATTGGCACTGCTTGCAAAAAGCACAATCCCTAAACCCGAAGCCCAAACCCCAAAACCCCTCAAGCTTAAGACCCGAAATCGAACCCTGAACCCTGACCCCTGCCCTATATTACGGTACCCTCAGAGATCTCTGTAAGTAGCCCTCATCGCCCCCTTTAACGGAACCCTATTCTATGTGAGGCCCGAGCCCCTGGAACTCCGTAAGCTGAGCCGCCTGAGGCAGGTTTGGCCGCTTCACGGCGAGGCTCAGAGCGATCACTGCGCCCAGAGATTCGGCAAGGAGAAGAACTGGCCTGGCTCATGGAACGGAGTTTTGCCGGTACTCTTCTCTATTAACCAGTTATGCTCTTACTTTTGCAGGACCTCAACCCAAGGACGGGCTTCTTCTCCCACCATAAACCGGTTGCTTGAGAATGGTTCGCAGTTGATCGGACGGGTGGCGGGTGGCAGTGCTGCCAAAGCTTCAAAACTGAAGGCGCACAGGTGTTAGAGGATTGGCCGGAAGGTCTCATAAAAAACAAGGGTTGCAACGAGATCAGTGGTTCGGGGGCGGTTGCCAAATATAGATCGCATAGCTCGGACGTAAGCCGGCAGGCATCTGGTCCATCCGGAGTGCAATCGCATACAGGCAACCGGTCTAAGTCTAATCTGACAAGGCTCTCTGGCATCCGCTGAACTGTCCCTCACAGCTTAGCGGATTTGCGTTTTGCCTGTCTTGATATACATGCATGTGCTGCATGCTGTCTGCATGCATGTATCTATAAGGCGAAGGATGGCCCTAACAACAAAGCTGCCTGGATGCGCGGAATGTTGGATTGGTGGCATCGGAGACACGTGCATACTTAAAAGCATGTGAATGATGAAGATATACATGTGGAAGTTATATACATATATACATATCATATGACACTATGTTTCTAGATGCAAAATGTACAATCGCAGCGTTTGCCGAAGACATGCAGGGGATCGATTGCACGACCGGGCCCTCCACCAGATTCATGTGCGTCTTTTGCGAAGCGAGAACTGGGGGCTGCAGGCATGGCCCGTCTGCCCACGTGAGTTGAAGGGTCTAGCCTGGATCGGCTGCGCTTCCACGAAGCGGGGAGTGCAAAGAATTCGCCGACACTGCGAAAGCCCTGCTTGTCCACGGACAAGGCTTCAGAGGCTTGGTGGGGAACAACGTTGCAGGCAGCACATAGAGTCTCTCCATCTTTGATGCTGCCTCCCGCGGCTGGGGACTTAGCCCAGCGGCACAAAATTGCATCGGTGGCTTCTCAGACAAAGGCACAGTGGAACTTGGTCCGGTGTCAACAAATGTCAAAAACTGACTATCGCCTTCTGGGAAGCCACCGTCGGCTGGCAAAGGGCCAGCCCTCGTAATTTGGAAGACAAGAGGTCCGCTCCCTGAGCTTGGAGTCGGCGAGGTCCAAAAATTGCATGCTTTTGACCATCGGTGACATCACACGCCGACGCCCCCGCTTCAGGACGGATGCTGTACACAAGCAGAGCAACGCCAGATGCGCTGCTCGCTCCAAAATTCCTCCCGATAGCTTTTTGCCTACCGGCATGGCTATAGCTCAGTTCAGCCTCTCCACGATATCAACATACTCCTGCCAGGAGCAGATATCCCAGAAGGGCTTGCCGCTCGCCTCCCTCGTCCACTTCCTGGGTGCAGGGTCCCGACAGCCACGACACCAGACAGGTCACCACAACCCACAACTCAGGTTTAAACAAGAGCGGAGTCCACACCCCGCTAGGCTCCGGGCCGGTGCAGGGCGTGGCACATGAAGATGGCGGTCTTGATGTCCGTGATCAGCGAAGTGCCCGCGTCCACGGCACCCCGGCGGATCCTGAAGCCGTCCGTGAGAGCATCCGAGTCCATGGAGTCAGGCACGTTGATCACCTCGCAAGAGATCGAGAAAGAGCTCCGAGGCAGAGAGAGAGCGAGAGAGCGCAACTCGAAGAGCGCTTTTAATGGAGATTGCACGATTGCCCCTCCGAGCTGCCAGGTCGATTTTGCGTCCCTGCAGGAGCGTGGCGGCGTTCGGCTCCCTCTTCACCAGGGGCTTGAAGACCATGCTGCTCTGCAGCCCGGCGCCTCGTCGCTGCACCCGAGACTCGAGACTTGCATCGCAAAAGCCCGGCCTGCGAGGTGCTCGTGCGTGCCCTTGGTGGCGTAAAGTGCATAGCCTCAGCCACCGCGTTCTGTCTCGTCCGTCTGTGGCTCTCAATCGACTGCACCAAGGGGCCCATCTCCAGCAGCTGCCGGGCCGCTCCGGAGCTCACGAACTCGCCCTTCGCTGCCGGGGATCCCAGCGACACGAGGATGCTCCTGACAGGGCGACATGGGCCGGCGGAGAAAAGACACTCGGGCTTCTCCGCCAAGGCCAAGGTGCTGCGAGGGTAGTTTGAAGTTCGCGGCCACCATGCTCTTCAGGAACGCCTCGTAGGCGTTCATGCCGAAGCCTTGACGCAACATGGGCCAAAACAAGCTTCGGAGAAGTCGCTGGAGTGAGAGAGATGTCGGAGTGAGTGATAGCGGAGTCGTTCTAAAGTCTAAAGACGAGACTGCACGAAGCATGCAGTCCCAGCCGCAGGCTACCTCACCTGTGGAGGACATCTCCACGCCCAGCCGGGGATCGGAGTTCTTCAAACGCCCGAAAGAAAACCTGACGTGACAGCTCGAAAGATCACTAGAAGACCGGAGAAAAAAACACACACACAGAGAGAGAGAAGTGCGAGACCCTGCCGCTCCACTAACATGAACCGGAAGAGTCCCACCCTGAACTGCCGGTAGGGCCAGCCGAAGGGCATGGGCGCTTTGCAGGCCACGAACTCGATGTCCATCGGCTGAATGACCGCTGAGCGCACTGGCATGCCCACCATGACGCCTCAGCAAAAATTCTGAGCACGTCTCTAGAGACCGAGGCGAGTTCTCCGAGGCAGCTGCGAGTCGCGAGCTCGATGAAGTTCACGTTGTAGGTCTTGGAGATGAAGGGCATGGACCGCGAGGCCCGCAAATTGCACTCCTCAGTAAAAAAGCATGCTGTTGCATCTGCGTGAAACGATGTCTGGGCGACCGGTGCTCTGATGGCGGCGAAGGCACAATGACCTTGACCTCGTTGTCCTTACAGATGAACTGGATGTTGAAGGGCCCCGAAATCTTTAAAGCCTTGCACAGCTTCTGCGAGATACCTCCAGACCGCGTGGAACCAGATTTTTTGTCAGCACGAGTCACAATATGAAGCACAGGGTTCATCCTGCAACCCGGCCGCTCTTGACCTTGCGGTGCGTCTCCACGAACAGCCGCTGCGCCGGCAGCAGGAGGGAGGCATCGCCACTGTGCACGCCGGCGTTCTCGATGTGCTCAGCGATCGCATAGTTCACGAGCCTCACTTGCAGCTTGCTGGCTCATGTCATGACACCATGCTAGGCTGCATTGGTTTCGCGATCGACACACTGACGCCATCTTACACCTATCATTCACCTATCCTTGGGAGCTATAAGTTGCCGAGTCGCTCGCCGGCCTTGCCCACGGCATCCAGCTCCACCTCCTTTGCACCGGTGATGTACTTGGAAATCACCACGGGGTGGTCGCGGCTGACCACTGCGGCCGTCTTGAGGAAGACTTCGAGCTCGGAGTCGTTGGTGACCACGCGCATCGCCGCGCCACTGAGCACGTAGGAGGGCCGCACCAGCACCGGGAAGCCTGCGGATCGGCAGAAGTTGCGAGCTTCCCCCAAAGTCTCGAACTGGGACCACTGGGGCTGGTCGATGCGAAGCTGATCACAGAGCTGGCTGAACTTCTTCCGGTCCTCGCAGGTGTCGATGGCCTCCACGGAGGTGCCGAGGATACACACGCCGCAGTGGTGCAACCCGAGGGCCAAGTTGTTTGGCGTCTGCCCACCCACGGACACCACCTGGGCACAACAACAAACTAAGCTTCAATTCAGATGTCACTCCATGCGGACTGAGCAGATATACTGTGGAATTCCACTACACCGGCTTGGCTTGCTGTCTCCGATCACTCAAGTCGAGCTATTGTAGCTACAATGTCTACACCCTTTGCCAAGCTGTATAATCCTTTGAACTGAAGTTCGAGAGTGTCGAGCGGCCATGCCCCGCGGTGTCTCCAACTCCGCGATGTCCAGCACGCGCTCGTGGCTGAGCTCTTCGAAGTACAGCCGGTCGGACTCGTCGAAATCCGTCGACACGGTCTCGGGGTTGCAATTCACGACCACAGCCTTGTGACCCAACTTCCGCAGCGTGCGCACGCAGGAGACGCTGCACCAGTCGAACTCCACGCTGCTACCGATCCTGTAAGGCCCGCAGCCCAGCACCACCACCCTGGACTCCTTCTCTGCCTTCTGGCTCTGCGGGGTCTGCAGTGACATGGGCTCCGGGATTGACGGCTGCAGTGAAAGCGGGGGCAAGCTGTCATCGTCGGCGGGTGCCTGGCTTCCAGGCAGCTCTACATCGTGTTCCTCGCCGCTGTATGTCAGGTAGAGGTAGTTCGTCTCTGCCGGGAACTCTGCCGCCAGCGTGTCGATTTGCTTCACTTTCGGAACGATGCCAGCACTCCTCCGCAGGTGCCGGATGTGTGCCTCTGTCACAGGACCGCCGGTGTAGCGGCTTGCCCCGAAATCCGTTGGCAGCAGCCGTGGGGACATCTCCATGTGCACAAGCGCTGGAGCCGAGACCAACGCTGCAATCTGGCAGTCCGAGAAGCCGCGGCACTTCGCCTGAACCGCACCAAACAACCAAGCAAGCTAACACAACGCTACGGGGCAATTTAGGGCAACGCGCTCGCACAGCTGCGCCTCGCGCAGGACCGCGGGATGGCTTCGGAGCTCATAGAAGTCCATGAGACGCAGGGCCACTTTGAGCTGGTGCAGGCCATGGAGCTTGGCCAGGAACCAGCGGTCTATGTTGGTGAGGCGATGGACATCCGTCACGTCCATGCCAAGCTCGAAAGCCTTCGCAACGGCCCAAAGCCTGACAGGGGTGGGGTTGCTGAGCTCCTTCTTCACCTCCTTCTCCAATTCTTGCCCGGATGCACTGATCCCTCGCCTTTCCAGCTCAATCTCATAGCGTGCAGGGTCGAAGCCTGGGCTTGCCTCGTCGACCATACGCAAGGCCTTTTGGATAGTCTCCTCGAAGGTTCGGCCGATGGCCATGACTTCGCCCACGCTCTGCATGGCGGAGCCGATGCGGGCGTCCACCGTGGAGAACTTCTGGAGGTCCCAGCGGGGCACCTTGGCTACCACGTAATCCAGAGACGGCTCGAAGCAGGCAGTGGTGCAGCGCGTCACGCTGTTCCGGAGCTGCCCCAGGTCGTGGCCCAGCGCAAGCTTGGCGGCCACATAGGCCAGAGGATACCCTGTGGCCTTGGAGGCAAGGGCACTGCTGCGGGAGAGCCTGGCGTTTACCTCGATGATGCGGAACTGGGAGCTTTTGGGATCGACAGCATACTGGATGTTGCATTCGCCCACGATGCCCAAGTGCCGGATGATCTTCAAGGCACACTGCCGGAGCCGGTAGTACTCCTCGTTGTTCAGTGTCTGTGAGGGTGCGATGACAATGGACTCCCCAGTGTGGATGCCCATGGGGTCCAAGTTTTCCATGTTGCACACGGTGATGCAGTTGTCGTTCTTGTCTCGCACAACCTCGTACTCCAGCTCCTTCCAGCCCTTCAAGGACTTGTCGATGATCACCTGGGGGCTGTTAACCAAAGCCACTGTCACCAGCTTCCTAAGCTCGTTCTCGTTGTCGGCGAAGCCACTGCCCAGCCCTCCAAGCGCGAAGGCGGCACGCACCAGCACTGGGTAGCCTGGCCGCTCGCGCTCGGCCGAGTGCAAAAACATCGCTCGAGGCTGGGGTCGGCAAACTCACAAAAAAAAGGGGGCGGCCCCTACAATATAGGGTTTTGGGACCCAGAGCGAAATGAATCTGCAACATCTGGCGCCGGGAAACCGATCTGCTCTGCGGCGCGGACGGCTTCCGCCACCGAGCCACAGCAGCTGCTCTCCGCGATCCGCTCGCCGCAGGCGTCCACCACCTCTTCGCGTTCAGCAGGAGAAGCGCATACGTAGAATGACTGGTCAAGAATCTATAGAATCTGCGGCGGAGCAATTGCAGAATTCAACCACCTTTCAAAACACCCTGAAGCCGGTGATTGCTCTCCCTGTCGGTGAGGCTGCATGAGGCTCCCTGCCTGGCTGAAGAGGTCGCGATCCTCCGTCTTGATGATGGCCTCGATTGGGGTACCCAGCACCTGCACGTTGAAGCGATCAAAGACCCCCTGCTCGTGGAGCCTGCACGCACAGTTCAGGGCCGTCTGGCCGCCGAAGGACACGAAGATGCCGTCCGGGCGCTCCCGGTCGATGACCTTGGTCACGAACTCTGGGGTCACAGGTAAGAAGTAGACGCGGTCAGCCATGCCGGCAGAGGTCTGAACGGTGGCGATGTTCGGGTTGATCAGCACGGACATGATGCCGGCCTCCTTAAGGGCCTTGAGCGCCTGGCTGCCCGAGTAATCGAACTCTCCTGCCTGGCCAATCGTCAGACCGCCGGAGCCCAGCACCAGCACCTTGCGATAGCTCAGCGGCATTGAGTAAGGGATGGTCGTCACGGCCCTGGAGGCGGGCTCCGCGATGAACTGCAGGAACTGCTTGAAGAGGAAGTCCGTGTCCATGGGCCCGCCGCAAGCCTTTCAGCAAAAAGCAAGAGCGGAAGGCGGAAGGAGAAGAGCGGCCGAGGCCCCTTAAGGCTCCAAAGCTCGCAGGCAGACGGGCAGGCATGCAAGGCATGGGGCCCGGGCCCTGCAGTCCCGGCCTCGGGGTGGAACTGCACGGAGAACCAGGGCCGCGAGCTGTGGATGATGCCTTCGTTGGTGCCGTCGTTTGCATTCACCATCAGAGGCACCCAGCCGCTGGGAAGGGACTGGGCGTCCACGGCGAAGCCGTGATTCTGAGCCGTGATGTAGCAGCGCTGCGTGCGGAGGTCCACGACGGGCTGGTTCATCCCACGGTTCCCGAACTTCATCTTGAAGGTCTTCGCCCCGGCCGCGAGGGCCAAGATCTGGTTGCCCAAGCAGATGCCGAAGATCTTGGCTCAGCTTCGTCTCTCATGCACTAGAATCACTATAGAGGTGAGAAAGAGAGAGGGAGAGGGATATGGCAAAGAGAGGGACAAAGAGAGAGACAGAGCGAGATGGAAGAGATCGCGAGTCGCGACTTATGTGGTTCGTTGCAAGGCGTCGACTGAGTAAACCTACGGCATCTTGGCATTGACGTGCTGCCGGCATCCGGATCAGTGCGGCCTTGGCACGGGCGTGTTGGGGCGCTGCTGCATCACCGTCCTCACATGTCGGATCGTCTGAGCGCACTGGCTGGGATCCCCAGGGCCGTTGCTGAGAAAGAGGCCATCGAAGTGCTCCTGCGTGAAGTCGTAGTCCCAAGGCACCACGGTGAGTCGAATCCCAAGAGCCACCAGGCAGCGGATGATGTTGTTCTTCATGCCGCAATCTACGGCAATGATGTGCACCTCCTTCTGGCCCTGCGCTGCCTGTGCGAAAGTCTGCTTCTGAGAGCGGGAGACCTCTGCCACCAGGTTTCTCGTGTTGGGGTCCTCGAAAGGAATGGCGGGATGGCAGCCGCTGCTGCCGTTCACCAACAGGCGACCAAGCATGGCCCCCTCCTGGCGGATGATCTTGGTGATCATTCGCGTGTCCACGCCGTAGATGCCCGGCACACCCTGGCTGTTCAGCCAGTCCCCCAGCGTGCGCATGCAGGAGTAGTGAGAGGGCTCATAAGAGTAGTCGGAGATGACCACGGCCTTTACGTGGATTCGGTCGCTTTCGAACCACTTCGACAGGCCTAGGTCGTCCGGGTCTTCGGAAGGGATCCCATAGTTTCCCACGAGTGGGTAGGTGAAGACCAGGATCTGACCTGCGTAGGATGGGTCCGTGAGGGACTCCGGGTAAGCCACCATGCCCGTGTTGAAGACCACCTCGCCAGAGACGGACACCGGAGCTCCGAAGGAGAAGCCTCGAGACTCAAGAGACTTCCGAGACCGAGACAGGAGATTGAGGACTTGCAGCCGAGGGGCCGGTCAGAGCTGTCCCTGCGCTCAGCTCAAGCGTCGCGCGGCGACGGGCATTCAGCCAGTTCTGGAGCGCACCGGCCTGAGCTGCGCATCCTTGTGCATCGATCTGCGGGCTCTCCCCACTTCCTTGCGAGGCCTCACTGGGCTTCGTGTCAATGGGCTCCAGCATCTCGAAATCATCTCCGTCCCAGGCTGCGGTGGCCATGCCTGCCCAACAACATGCAATGCACAGATTCCGATCTCAGCAACCGCGGCATCCAAGACCCGCCTTCGCAAGTTCTCGGGAGTAGCAGCAAGCTCCACTGCTGCACAGCAAATGCTTAGCACGAACGGCTGCGGTAAGCGTGTGAGCCGTGCACACGACGCTGTCGGCTATTTAACTAGCAACCCAGCAGGTGTGGAGGGCATTGCACGCAGCAGGTTCCACTGCATCTGATGCCAATGCCATGATGCCTTTGTGCTCTTCGCTTCTCGATAAAGCTCTCGACCGACTCAACGAGCGAATCCAGGTCACCTGTAGAGCCAGCACCCCGTCTGGCAGGTTACTCGTGCATGCGTCTGATCGAGATACTCTAGCCAAGAAACAAGTCCGGCAATTAAGCACATAAACTGTTGCACATGAGCGCCGACACTACCCTGTCTATGATGTGAGAAACATAACTGGTGTAGAGTTGATCCTTGCTTGTACAAAGCTTCGCCACGTAGTACTCCGTGCCCCAGCTGTTGTGCTTTATAGGGCACGGGCAAAATGCTTCCCTCATCTGCCGACTGGATTCAAGGCTACTGCCCTCTTGCTTCCCGCCATGATCCCCCATATGCTTAGAGGCTTCGGGGTTTGGGATATATGCAAGATTTAGGAAGAGCCTGCATGCTTCCCCCAAATAGTCGAAGCCGCAAGGTGGCCAATGTGTTGCAATTTACAATAATGAACCAGGCTTTCCGCTGTGGCTACTGCTACTGCTGCTATTGCTGCTGCTACTCCTGCTGCTCCTGCTCCCGTTCCTCCTGCTGCTGGTGCTGCTGCTACCGCTCCTGCTAGTACTGCTGCTTCTGCTATTGCTGCTGCTACTGCTGGTTACTACTGCTACTGCTGCTGCTACTGCTACGGCTGCTACTACTGCGACTACTGCAACTAGACTCCCACTGCCTCTCTCACTCCTACTCCTATTCCATTCCATCCAGAGGGCTTCGATCGTCGGGAGGCAATTGAAGCGCCCAGCAGTCGAAGAAGGGTCTTGGCTTCATTGTAGTATAGGGGCTTTGATGATCAGAATAGGGTTTTGGTGCCCATTATACTGTAATTATAATAAGGAACCCCGGACATTGGCAATTATTCAGGCCCCTATTTCATGCCAGCCGGATGCTCCCCACAGATTTCACAGCAATGATAATGTTCATAATAATGTCCGGCCTCTGTCATATGTAAATAAGTTCATCCACCCTCAATACCCGATGTCCCCGACATAATTACAGAACTGTGTCCTCTCTCCCGCCTGCCTATGCCAAGCCCTACACCTCAAAGGGCTAACTAACTCAAAAGGATCAGAGTGCTCCAGTCGGCGGAACTGGTCAGACGTCCTCCGGCTGGCACCATCGATACCTCCAGCTTAACTGGCATCATCAACAATCTTGGAACCTCCTCAGCACGGCGAAGCAATAATTAGTAGTGAAAGTGCGTCGTGCTTCAGTGTCAATGTCACGTCGAGTGAAGAAGCTTCTCTCTGGAAGAAAAACCCCACAGTATATCCTAAGCTTCTTCGAAATACTTGAGAGCTGTGAGCTGCGCCTGGCAGAAAAACCAGCAGCGGCTTTGAGCTCGGCTGAGACAGCTCTTGGCTTTCTCCTTTTCGGGACTCAGGCTGGGAAGATCCCGCCAGGATCTCTCGGATCCAAGTCGAAGCAATCCTCAACTCCACCAACCGACACTTCCTACAGCAAGGATCCTGACCGTCACGAACCCGAACCGAGAGACTCGGGTTGGCATGTCTGCGTGACCAGCTACACCCAGCTACCAGCAGCTCAAACGGGACGGGTCCCATGTGCCACAAGCCTTCTTTTGAGGGGACTGTCGGACATGCGCTTTCGTCAGAACAAAAGGCTTCGGATAAGTTCACTCCACTAAACGTGCATTGACGCCTCGCGCCCCTCACTGCTACATTGACTGATGGACCTTGCGCATATGCCATCTACAGCATATGCATGCGAAATCAACACAGGAAGGAAAAGCATCCCCAAACTCAAATTGTCGCGAGCCTATTCGGGTCTGCAGTGCAGGCGTAACCGCAACGCGAGACCTATGAACTTTGAACTTGCGGAGGCGCTCCTGGCAGTAGACCGGCACCTTAGCAGTGACACTCCTCGCGTTCTGCTGCGCTTGGGGTTTGGGGGGCGGGGTTGGGTATGTGTGCCCCTGCTTCTGCTGCCTTACTTGTCCTGACACAAATGAAGTCTTACAACTGGCATGCCGAGCCAACAATTACAAAGCACGATGCCATGGACACCTCCCTCCCATTCGAGATCTGAACATCTTGCGCTTTAAGCCAGAAACCTTAAGAGCTCCAGATCTCCATGCACTCCCTGGAGTTCTCGACGAGGCGCGGTGGAAGCTCACCGCCCGGTGCACGGTCTTGGCCTGAGGCCTTGGACCTCCAAATCCGACAAAGCCTCCGCGTTTTGTCGAATTCGAGCTTCTGCTTGTAATGGTTGCCGAAACGGTAGTACACATTTTTGCTTTGTGTATGTCGATGGGTTCAGGTGCCACGAGCTTCAACCTCTTGGGACACCTAGCGGCTGCTCTCGGTAATGGCTAACCGGCTAACCCACCAGAGGAAGCTACGATGGCCTGGGTATCCCGCTTATGTTGGGAATCGTAGCATGACGGTCACACTGTCAACATCTGTCAACATTGTCAACTTTCAGTGAACCCCACGCAGCAAGCGTAAGGGGCGGTCTCGCAACAGTCAATACCACAGACGATGGTTGTCCTCAGCCTTCAGCATCTCTAGACTCTTCAGGACCGTTATCAAAATCACACTGGGTATCACTGGGTCATGATTGAAACACGGATTGAAACAGCATGGCTCAGCATGACCATAACTAGCCGTTCTCATCAACATCATCGTCATCGTCATCATATCATCACCATAACAACCATCACCATTACTGTCATAATCATGAGCAGTAGTATCACCATAATCATCACCATCATCATCCGCACCGTGCTAGTCAGCGTCACCCCACTATCACAAGATCGGAATTACAACATTTATTGCTGTCGCTGCATCCACACCGAAGCAATCACGACGCATCTGCGGAGTGCACAAGGCAGCAACCCTTTCAAAACAAACGCACGCATGGGTCAGCCAACCCGCAGGCAGGTAGGTTAAGATGTGTGGCAGTTCTGGCCCTACAAACAGTGTCTGCGGTGGCAAAGGCAAAACGTTATCATTGTACCGTTTTAAGTTGATGTAAGGAAGTGTGAGGACGACATTGATAGCTGACAAACACACGAGCTCGGACCTGCCTAGCCCCTGCAGCACACCCAGGCCCAGTGCTCCCAGCACCCACGGGAGGAGCCGCACACGGGACCATGGCCGCGCCATGGCGACCAATCACAGTAGTAGAAACACCGTGAACAATACGGAAGTAAATGCCATGCTCGGGGACATCTAGTACCGAGGGCATATTTGTCTGAAGTTGTAACAGGTATCTTGATATGGGGTAAGTCGGAATACACCGCTAGATACTCTATGAGTAAGTAGAATAGCCTGGCAAATGAGGAAGACTTGACTAGTTTTACACGGAACCGTTGCGCAATGACACTCGTAAGAGCAGCAAGTGGGAAAATGAAGCATGTTCTTTGACTCGAAAGCAAAAACAGTCATCAATCCAAGGCCAGAAATTGGACTGGCAGTGCACTGGCGGTGATGGCGGTACTTGTAAGAATGTTTCTGCTACAAATCATCGTCGGGGTCGTCGCGTAGAAAACCCCGAGGCGATGGTAGTACCGGCAAAGTCTTGCTGCTGTTCGGGGGCGCTAAGCTGCAGTTTCGGGAGTATGTCGTGCGTGTCTCAATATCTATAGTCGCAATAGATCGTTGAAGGCTTGGGGCGTGGGTCGGCTTCGCTTGCACGGCAGACAAGGTTCTAAGGATGCTGTCCAGCTGGAGATGAGCCGATGAAGCATCGACCGGTCGCATTCCCCAAAAACACCTCCACAAGATTGCAGAAGGAGAAGGAACTATGAGTGACAAAAGCCCAGCTGAGGCAGCTCAAGCGCAACAGAACTGCAGCCGGCCACGAGCCAAACCCAGCTCTTCTTCATGAAGGCCTTCCTTCCACCAACGACGTCCGAATTGAAAGTTCCACAATGTTGCCTAAACTGCCGTTCCACTGACTTTGGGAAACAAGCACAAGCACTGATTTTCGCCCTACCGCTACCACTACGACTACTAGGAATACTACAAACTCTGGCACCCACCAGGGGTTTTTCCAGAATAACTAAGTTTTTCTGGAAACCCATTAAATCGACTGCTGAACCTGGACGTGAGGCATCCCCTCTAGCCAGGAAAAACTCTGACACCCCACTGTACTACCTCAGCTCAACAGCCCTCAGTCAAATCGACAGCCCCCAAAGGCATTTCCAAACAGTTGAGTTTTGGGCAAAGTGTGCCTGGGGCAAGTTCTTAGTCTGCTCCAAGCTCGTTGCGCTAGCTTCGGACACCGAAACTATATGTTGCAGTCATTCAAAAAACACTGACTGCTCAACAAGATGTCTTTCAGGTGTAGATAAAAATCTGCTCGCCGTATCCTAAGCCACTATGTTCATGTATCTGCACACCGCAATTCTGAGTCCGCAGCCAGATCTGATGGCGCTAACCTCTTTCGTCCACAGGAAAAAATTCGATGTTGCGTTCGTTTCATGTGTGGGCTCTTGCAAATTGGGGCAATCTGATAACAGGTCCCTCTCCGAGCGAGCTGCAATGCGTCCCATGGACTTCCTGAGGTTGCAACTATGACTTCTGGACATTCACGTGCTTCCTCGATGCCAAGGCAGCGAAGAACCTCACTCAACAAGGCAAGGAGGCGTTTATACTGTCGTCGCCGGCGAAGTATACATGTTGATAGCCAGAATACCAGCATGACAACCTTCCACATACCGTTGCAACTCTTGAATCCGCGGGCACTGCGAGGTGCTTCATGCGGGAAATGAGACGACCGGCGCATGAGGCTGCCAATGCCTTGCCCCTGCACAGCCGCATCCAGCTCGGCATTGCATTTGTGAGCTAGAGCGCGAGATGAAAAAGTTTATGGTCGGGATAGGGGCAGCTGTGAAAGACATCCGCGGGCCTTGCACCCAAGACTCCTGCCCCTGAATGCCATCCATTCACCTTGACACTTTGTCCATGAAGCCAGAACCTGAAAGCTCGTTGGAGGTCTGGCCGCGTGGACAGACCGAAAGTTCGCGTGCGCGCGACTGGCGTTCTCTGTTCGGAATTATCCTTCATTAATGACCCGGTCAGTCAATATAGGGGCTTTGGTTTGCGGAAACGGGTTTTGGGTTGAGATCAAGGTACCAAACTCGGTACTAGCTAGCTAAGTTCTACTGAATATTCCAACTCCAAAGCTTTCTGGCTCGGAGCTTTCCGCTGCCTGAGGTGTCGCACGCACAATTCATGCTCACACTCGGACGGATCAGGGCAAGGTCTGCAAATAACAGCGCCCTCTCGCCAACCTCATTTATTACAGTATCAAAAACGTATAACGAATGATCTGAGAGTACCCTTATACCAACCTTACCAAACCCTTGGTGTAGCGTCTTACAGGTTGTTCACAACTCGGCCCGAGAGCTGGCGGGACCCCCGGCTTGACACGTTCCGTTCATGGCCGCCTTTGCGCGGCCGGCGAGGGTCCCTGGCAAGTTCTTACAAGTACTAGGGAATGGGGGAATGGATCCCTGTAGTAACCCCTATATAATCCCCAGAAGCAGTCCCCATAAACCGTTCCCCCATTGCCTGCTAAGTACCAGGGAGTAGCGTAGGCTTCAGGATGCTTGGGGTTTAGGGTGAATGTCGGGCTTTGCAAGGATTTTGGTTAAGATATTTGGGCTCAGGAACTGTGCATATACATATGTATGTATGTCATGTATGTGTGTATGTATATGTGTAGGTATATGTGTAGGTATGCATATGCATGTATGTATATATGTATGTATACGTGTATATGTATACATACATACACACCTATACACCCATACATACATACATATACATATCCACCCGTCCATGATTCCATCCACCCGTCCATCCATGCATACATCCTCTGTGCTTTCGTGTCCGGTTGACTGCGAAGAGTGCCCGGCAGGCCAAGATTCCAATCTACCCAAGATCAACTTCTCGAACTAAGGGCTCACCGCTATCAACGCAATTCCGTCTCCTGCAGCTTCGGTCTGCTCGTCTGTCTGTTCCATTCACGTGTTCCTTGCATCAGCTGAGCTGACCTTTTCGTCCGGGGTCCCTGTGGAGTCGGGTTCAGGGTTTAGGGCTCTACTGTTGCTCTCGGGTTGAGGGCTTGGGGCTGTTGGGCAACGTTTCTCTCTACCACAACGGAGCAGACAAAAACGAGTCTTTTTGCGCCCTCTCAGAGATTCTCGATCGTTCTCTTATCTGTCACATAGCCCCTTCTTCTGTTTCTCCTCCGAACCTTCTCCAGCTTCTTACACGGAATTGGCCTCGATTTCAAGTTTTTGCTGCCTGACAACGTTTTCCTCATCTACAACTTCCTCCTGCGCATCGGAAGTTCTCGACCCTCTTAGCCTCCAATCTCGAAGGTTCTCTACTTGCCCGCTCGACCTACCCCTCGACCTCTCCCTGAGATTTCTCTCTGTTCGTCCCTGTTTCTGCTCTCGCTTTGTCTTTCTCTACCTTCTTTCTCTAGATCATTCGGCCTATCGCTTTGAACTTCTCTTCATTCATAGCACAAGGATGCAGCCTCCATCTCTAAAGTCTCCGTTTCTGTCTCACAAGGACTGGTCCTCTATCTGTACACAGGGTTCAAGATCTCTCATTCTACCCGAGCGTCAGGTTTCTACCATCAGCATTGCACGATACCCGCACTCGGGCAAGGATGATTGGTGCCAAACATGGGGATCCAGCCTTTGATCTGCAGGTCTCGCGCATACTCTATGGAGCCCGCGCTCTTCACGACCTGGCTCTCATCGCACTTCCGGAGTTCAGAATCACCCGGATCTTGATTCCAATCTAATGCTCATCATGATCATGCGTCTTAAAGCACGAAGCGACGTGTTCGGTCCTGCCAGGCGCGCCTCGTCTTTGTGCTTCAGGGCACGTCTTAGCCAGCAGCCGAAGTGGCGAAAGGGAGACTCCCAGACGTACCTGTGGCACCAGAGTATCTCGAGGCCTCAACATGAAAAGAGGTGGAGCATCACATGTTACGCAGTATCGGATTTAGCTCCTCTGTCTCCCGTCTGACCCGCGATCGGCCCCTCATGCAAAGGCTAAGCCCCAAACGACGGCGACAGCAGCTCCAACCGAGCCTCCCGTCAGTTAGCTGGCAAAGTATGCTGGGACATATTGCTCCAACGGCGCAGGCCCGGTACACAAAAAGACTCTGTTGGAAGGGTCTCGCACAGCGTTCCCATAGCACCCAAAGCTTTGGACCTGCAAGCAAGCCCCAGAAGCAGCGGCGCTGTGAGGAGGCGCAGCGTAACTTTATGAAACTATCCATCTATCCATCTATCTATCTGTCTATGTATATATAGATATATGCGTGTATGTCTATATATCTATATAGATATATGCATACAGACATGTACGTGTATCTATCGGTATAAACAATGTTTCTTTGATTGGTAGTTCTTCATATTCATATTTATGCGGTTCATGATATAAATCCCGCATTACCCATAATAAGGCATATACCATAATTCCCATAGTTTAGGGGTCGTTAAGCCAATGCAGGATTTATATCATCAAACAGTGTTTATACTCAATCTGACTACATATTTGTATTCATGGTAATACTGATGGAAACTTGTAGCTATTAGCTATATTTTCACACTTCTTTAGATCCATATTCCTGTATATATTCTCTATAGTCATGCATCTACGCTTGTACTTATACTTGTATTTATGTTGATTTTTCCTTTTGTTTTAGTTTTATACTGATGAAGTTATATACTGATGTTTATACATGTTTGTATATCTTTGCGTGTGTATATATATACACATATACACATCATAAAAGATGATACTCCATGTGCTAGTATATGTTATTGCTTTTCGGGGGGGGTCCAAGTCTCAAGAGCGCATGCCTCGTGTCCCACGACTCTCTGCTCACGCCGGTCGGAGGCGCTGCCTCCGAGTGGCTCGCGGGAGCTTCGGGAGTCGAGGCTGAATCCTGAACCCTAAACCCTCCGTAGCCATTTTGGCTCAAGCATCTTGTACGAACTTAGTATCTGAAGCCATGCCTGCCTTGTGCGAGTGCGTGAGTCGAAACCCTAAAATCTAAATTCTCTCAAATACCAAATCTGGGGCCTGAAGTGCCCAACCTCCTTGGGGTAAGGGGCCAATTTGTTTTTCGTAGCAACACCAAGCCTGGACTGCGACTAGGCATGGCCGCTCCAGGGTCGTGCCGAAACTGAGAAGATCCCAAAGCTTCAACGGGAGCCGTTCCTGCCAAGCTAACTATACCAATCAAAACACTCTCAACGGGTCTCATGAGCATGCAGCACAAACTTTCTCGCGCAGAGAAACGTGCAGATGGCTCAGCTCGCACATTTGGCAATCGCCACAGAAAGGATGAACAAACCAAGTTGATCTGTCTTGCACACCTTGTCCTTTCCACACCGAGCACATGATTTTCTGCGAGTTGGTCTGGGAACTTGGTCGATTCTCAGCCGGGCCGCGGCAAGCAAATGCAGGAGCTGTGGCGTCCTACTGCAGCACATCCTATATGTACATGTAGAGGGGGTTGCTCCAAATTGATGTGGGTCTTTCTGGGAGGCTCGTACTTACAAGCTCGACAACCTCATATTACCGTGGTTTTACCTTATTTTTTTCAGACAGTATATGAATATGTAGAGCAACCCCAGCGTCGCCCGTGCTTCCCAGGACCCCTTCCTAGCTTGGAGCTGACGAGACTCTTGACCAGCCCTTGAAGCTGAAAGGGCCTAAACTTCATCTCGCTGCTACAGTAACCACTCCCATTGCCCCAGCCCGTCTCGTGCGGAAGATCTGACTGGGGTTGACTGGGTCTAAAGCCAAACCACAAGACATGGTAGTGGCCCTTCAAAGGTTCACCAGGATCGGTGCTTGCCGCGCATGCGACGGTAGGGTGATGCCATCGGTGTGCCTGGGAGTTCTTTGAGACTCACAGTCGGACAGCGCTGGTAAGGACGCCAACGGTCCCTCTGAACTCTACCATGGTATGGCTTTGTGTCGTGCGTAGACAATGCGTGTAACAGAACCTAGCTACATACACGGATGCCGTTAGCCTGCCCCTCCTCCACAGAAACGACAAGGTCAACGTCATTGAAGAGCGTCTCTCCGGTGGCATGTCCGCGACAAGATTCTAGGACTCTAGGATTGAAAGCTTGTCAAGTCTTCCAAGAAGCTTCCTTTCTGCAGTTTGTCCATGACTTGAACATCCCCCGCTGAAGATGGAAAACACTTTAGCAAAGGGCGTTTCCTGGGCGGCAACCGCACGGGCATCAAGGTCGCAGAGGACCATAGCGGGTTCTTGCAAATCAACTCGAAGGGGCAGGGTAAATGTAGTCGAGAAGCCCGAAACTCCAAAGCGTAAACCCCGAAACATGCCGCCAAGCAGCCACCGTTCTTGTCAGTGTCCTCGTAGTGTCTCCGCAGGCGCCGGAATTTCCGTTGTGGAAAGCTCCAGGTCGGCGTCACCTGCCGAAGTCGGATGTGCGTTGCCTTGAACTTAGGGTTTCGGCGCTCACGCTCGGACAAGCCAGGGGAGGTCATCCATCCATGCCGCACTTGCAAAATAGTGTTTTGACGCTCGCACTCGGCCATACCACGCGTGGTCTTGAGGAGGCATGAAGATTACAGGTCTCGTGACTTTGCCCCACGATCAGGGCTGATTAAGCACCAAGGGTTTCGCGCCGTAGATTCCCAAATTAGAGTTAAGCTGGCGGGTATCATCTTGACCGAGGGCTCAACTTGCCCTGGACCCTAAGCCCTAAACCCTAGACGAAACGAAGAAGATCGATCCAGGACAACAGAACCACATGACGATGTGACAATCTGCACTCTCGACAAGCCAGGCCGCAGGAGGTCGACTCCACGGCTCGACAACCTCCCTGCGATCCGTGCCAGGAGAACAGCTATTAGTTTCGGGAGTTTCGGTATTCAGCAGGTTCTGGAATACAAGGCTTCCCAAGAAGAAATACAAAGATTTGGAAACTCCCCCGAGAAAGCAAGAGCTCCTGCGCAGTGGAAGCTCAGCATGTCTCGAGCAGATCGGTCTAGGCAGTTCCTAGACCCGAACTCCTGTAGAGCAGTTTGCCCTTCAAGCTTGCAGCTACAGTAATCGGAAAAACGGAGCTAAGCTCCGAAGCCGAGGGGACATACGCCCTTCAAATGCACACCTGTGCAACACAGCATAGCTGCTGCAGATGTGTCGCACACAGACTCGCCTCTCGCACCGAACTTGGTGTTTATACAGTCTGCATGCTGAGATTCAACGGCATCTGAGCCCATGTTTCGCGCAGCTGCACCTTCTGATCATCCGGCATGCTAAGCAGCCGGGCAAGCTTCCTGCAGTGACGAAGACGGAAGCGATTTTTTCTAGGAGAGCGGCCTTTAAACAAGTCCCGCACACGCAGATGCCAACGTCGCTTCGGACCATGTGGTTGAGAAATAACAAAACTTGATCTCTTCGCGAATCCCGCGGTACGATAGCCTGAAAGCTGTTCACGCAGGCGACAATCTCGCCGCACTACTGGTACACGGCTGCTGCACGTTGGAAGACGTATACGCTATGAGACAAAAGTTTGTCACATTGGCAAGGGCATGCGGGAGCCACCACTCCATGCCGAACGACTCAGGAGAATCCGCAAAACTCACTTTTGCCAAGAGCGGAAATATGCTCAGGAACCAGAACATCGACGTGTGGAGGTAGACCATGCTGTGCCAGTAGGAAGCCTGGCGAGTGAAGGCTACCACACAAGCCCAGCGCTCATATGCGAGGTCTAGATCCTCCAACTGGAAAGGATGCAACTGTCCAAAACGTTCAAGCAAGCCGACTAGGAAGCGGTTGACCCGGAGCAGACCAAAAGCCCAGCCCGCGTGGGACAAACCTGGGGTCCAGGGTATCATCAGCAAAGCCGAAGCCTGTGAGTCAACTTCACTTGCAAGAGGTGGCAGAGACTCCAAACGGTGAGGGAGATAAAACAGGGCAGCGCGCCCCGCTTTACTGAGGACCGCATCTCGGGGTCTATCGTCTCCTGTACGTCTGGAACTCGCTCCAGCACAAGCTCGCGGAACTTCGTGCTCCTGCTCACCATGCAGAGTAAGACCACATTGGATGCCATCTCCATGACCAGGATCAGGTAGGCCCACTGTTCAAAGCCGGTGATGGAAACGGCCTTGTATGCGCAGGCGATCATGTATGTCACTTTACAGACGATGATAACAAGGGAAAACTGCAAGCAATGACAGGGCCATCCTGCTGGCATAAGCCCCATCCCCACATAGAGTGGTACAGTCACGGCTGTCCAACAAGCTGCAGTGCAGCTCGATGTGCTGATGCCATATTGACCTTCCGCGAGTTGAAAGAGCCCCCTAGCTCTGTAGAGGAGGTGCTCCTTTGTGTCTAACCGCATCTGCTTCAATGTGGAAGGACGCCTGTGCAAGACCAGAGATGGCGGTCGAAAGTCTCGCATGCCCGCAGCGGCCTCACAGTGCACATCATGTTTCACACACTCCTCTTCGGAGGGGACAAGCTTGTCAGAGGTACTGAACAGCTTTCCGCTGGTCTGACCCACTGCATCACTGCCGCGAAGCTTGACTCCCCCATGTTTAGGCACCACGCTCTCTTCGGCGCTGGCATCGATACTGCATGGCAGAGACGGGGGCGAGACAATCGCCCCCAAGTCCCTGTCTTCGACAGGCCGAGGTGGCATCACGGCTCGCTGATGCTTGGCCATGGCAAGACGGCAAGCCTCAAAGCAGTTCTACAGTCTACCGACTATTCTAAATCTGCTGAGAAAAATGGCTACGGTGGTTTTGGGGTTTCCGGTGCTATCCTAGCCCGAACAACCCAATACTTACCCGGGAGGCACCTCACCGTCACAAGGGAGGTTGTCGTTTGTGTGTACCATGAGCAGACAAACCTGACACAGCAACACGGACTCAAGGAAGCATACGAAAGAAACCTCTGCAAGAACAGCGGTGCCATGGAGTGTCAGACTCGCCAGACTACACTTCTCGCCTACTGAAGCCCTCAAGCCTGCACTTGTATGCAGCACACTGTACTTCACACAAAGTTGGGGACGTGTTGGACTCAATATGAGCAACATGATTCAGGGTTTACGGCTTGCTTAATGTTTAGGGTGCATGGCTTGCAACGTCTTGATGCAATGGCGCCCTACCATGTGCACACCACGGTTCCGAAGACGTGGAGCTGTGTCTGCCGTGAGTCCAAGACTATCCAAACTCCAACATACAACTGACCCCGGGGAGTCACCTCCTCGGTAAACAGATGAGCTGGCTTCGCGGCCACTGCCTTCAGGCGCACCTGACTGCATGTCCAGTTTACCGTCCGACCTCGGAACTCGGAAGTGTTTGGGACCTCCCAAATTCCATTCAACCTGATTCAACCTGTCTCGATTCTGTGCCAGTAGCAGCTGCAGCACCAGCACCACCGGTGCTGGCACCAGCACTGGCACCAGCTTTAACAAATGTCAGAAACATGCCGTGCTACAGCCGCCTTCTCTTTGAGAATGGGTTCGCCATCAGGCTCGTGAGCCTCAGCAAGCCGTCTCTTTTCGGCGCTTCTGCTTGCTCCATGCCATGAACCTGAACTACCTGCAGTTCGGGGACATCCAGTTTCGGGTTCGAGTTCGGGGTTTACGCTCTCGCAAGTCGGACCTGCTAGACGAGGTCTCTCGGTCCACAAGCACATTGACTCGACTCCAACTGCATGACATCAGTTCGGTGTTTAGGGTTTCGAGTTTTGGCTTGTTTGGCTTAGGCATCAGCATTTAGGCTTCGAGTTTTGTGTTCAGCATGCTGGTTTCCATTGTTTCGCGTTTTAAGATTTCGTCACTTCTTTGCGACCATATCATCCCCCACTGGAAGTTTGTAATTGCCTCCTGCATTTCTCAGTGGAGGAGT